GATATAAAAGGACTTTTATAAAAGATAGATGAAATTATCTGTCTTGTTGATGTTAAAATTAGAGATGGTCTTTAATATTTCATAGAGGACAAAGACATGCATGCTTTTGTAACCAAATTCCTGCCATTGCAAGTTAGGCAGAGTTTGGTTCTGAAAGGGAACATCCCTTTAAGGTGGCACTTAATCATTGTCATAAGTGTTCTTGTCACTTGAGACAGCAAAAAGTTTTCTGTCTTTTTTTTCCCCTCTCTTCTCCTCTCTTCATTTTCATGTGGGGCATACAGAGAATGGAGACATTTCTCCACAAGAGAATCAGATCATTTGTGTTAGGGGTAAACAGTCAGAAAATAAGTTCAAGGCTGAAACTACACACTAGTACAAGATCTACTCTTCTGAATCCTGTAGAGCATCTGCACAAAATTTGTCAAATTTGGCTTTCTAAGTTACTGAATATCATCTTTGATTTAACTGGAGATCTTAGTGGCCAGACACCTTAGCAGCGATGTAGAGTCCCTCCCTCTTAAAAAAAAAAAAAAAAAGGTGAATCTGCTTGTCTCTCTTAATTGTACACACGTCCAATTAAACCTCAGTCACAGTTCAAAGCCTGCTGACAGGCTGTGAGAAGTAAACCAGTAGCATAAATAATGCATAAAGCAGCAACAAGACTGTTGAGTGAGTCACAGTTAATCAGATCTGATTCCCTTGACTGCCTTGCAGGAAATTAAAAGAAAAAAGAGAAAGGAGTACAATATCCATTAGCTTCCCCATCTGCTTTGTGGAGAACACTGAATTTCTCTCCCACCGAATTTTCCAATGCAAAGCTTATTTCAACCAGATCTCACCAATACTTGGAGTCAAAAAAAAGTTAGTTCTTCTGAAAATGTTATTTCTAACCCACTGTGAATCTTAAATGGTCAATGGTCAACATGATTACATGATTTTTTGATAAAAATCTTCTTCACCTGGCTGCTCTTAGGCTTTTGTGCATTGTAGAAAGCCTGAGTGCATTGTATTCAATGCCATCACAAAAGGAGCCTACAGTCTGATCAAAATAAATAGCTTCTCAGAATAAGTTAGTTGTGTAATTTTTTCTTGGTCTTGACTGTAGCTGGAAACTGCTGGCAGCAAATAAAATTCCTTTCTAGTGCAGTGCTGGTCCACTTTCCAGAGCATGATACAGCTGTCGTCTTGGCAGATTTTTGATTCACACCACTATATACAGATGCATCCTAATACAAATATAATTCAGTCACAGAAAAATGCTTGGTACATACTTGAAATTTTATCCTAAAATGTCATGTTCTGTTGACAGAGCAGCTTTTTTTCATTACTGGTTTGCATGTGTGATTCAGATCCAGTACTTAAATGGTTGCTTGTAAAGCCACACATGCATAGGAAAGTGGAGCTACTGTCAATATCAGGATGTGCTCAGAGCCTTCCATCTGTTCCAGATAGCGTAGAACTGAGTTGTGACTAAGATGTTTTTACATCTTTTAAAACCCTTTACTAATTCAGAATTTTTGTTTTTGCCAAGAAATCTGTAGTTTAAACTCTTAAAGCTTTGAAATTAAATAAATGTTAAAATAAACTGAGTTATTCTAAATTATGTCAATTTCAGTTTAAAAAAGAAAAACATATTACCTTACTTTTTAAAGCTATTTTAGGCATCGGAAATTGTTATTTCTTGAAATAAGTAAGGGAATGAAAGTGGAATTTTTGAAATTTTATTTTCTCTGAGTTTTATCTCTAGCAAATTTTCAGCAGTAATAATGTACTCTCTTCATTTTATGGGTAGATTTTTTTTAAATGAGCCTTTGCTAACAAAAAAGAATGCTAGTTTTGATGGAGCAGTCACAGACAAGCCTATTTAAAATAGATTATTTCTTATTTTACTTTTTCATTTTCTAAAGTATGACAAGCCAGTTGAATTACAAATTTAATAATGTGTGATCAGATTTTTACTGCAAAGCTGTAAATCAGATTCTTTGTGTGTCTCCTTGCATTTGCTTCTCTTTCCATTGCAAAAAGATTTAAGGCAATTAATGATAAATAAAACCCAAGTGTCAACCAGTGAGGTGCACCCAGTGTCTCCTTCTCTCTATACTAATTAGGGGGCACAAGAAATTTAAGTAGAGGGATTTAAAAGCAGAGACACCAGTAGAGAGCAGATACAGGAACTTTCACTACAAACCTGGATATTAATGAATAAACTCAGTGCAACACTAAACCATCACTGAGGTCCTGTAGCTGTAGAGCAGCGAGTGGGAGTTGTGCTGCATCACTGGGGCTTGCAGAGCCTTTTTAGAAAGCCTGCTGGCATCCCCAGCAGGTTTACTGAAGGAGTCAGACAGAGAGAAGCAGCATCCAGTGGCCAGCCAGGTGGTCTGGCTCCTTGCACCAGCCATACACCAGCAGCAGGCAGGTGTCAGCAGCGGTGACCCATAACAGGGTCAGGCTGTCCTTGCCACACTTTGGGGACACTGATTAAAATATGTCATGCCTGTTTTCCTCTCTCAACAGAGGCTGTCCTTGGGCAGGACAGACGATCCTTCAGGCAGCGCTTTTTCCAGCTGCGTGCAGAGTTCATTAGTATGACAGGAAAGGAAACACAGGATCATCAGATCAGATCAGTGTTTCACTACGTTCTGCATCACATCCCTATGCACAGCTCTTTCCAGGGGCTTTGCAGTAAGGTGACAGAAGCCACCCTGTTGGAATGCTGTGGAGTGAAGGTTCCAGAAGGAAAATGTGGCTGGCGTGTCAACTCCCTCCCTCCAACTAGAAAAACAAAGAATTTATTGTGTTAAGGGTCACAGCTGCTGAGACAGAAAGGAGTGAGGCTTAAATCCAGTGTTCTGTGATCAGTACAAGAGGGAAGAGGCAGGGAAGGATGTTCTCTTTCTCTGTTGTAATTCTTGCTTGTTGTGATTGTATTACAAGAACAACAACAACATCCTCACGAGGCCAAACGCAGCAACAAATATTCACAGCACCAAGTTATAAGGCCAAGGTTTAAAATTAATGGGAATCCAAAGTTCTGCTTTCAGCTGTTTAAACAGCCAGTTTTTTGCTATCTTGAGCCTTCTTCAGGAGCTAAAATTTGGATACTCAGCAAGGGATCCATCCAGAATTTTGGGTGGCCTTGAAAGTCATTACTCTCCATATTGTGCCTTTTCCAAGGCACCTGTGGCTAGGAGGACAGCAAGGTGGTTTCTCACAGAGGATAGAAGGAAGCTACTGGATTTCAGAAGAAAACAATTACTTTAATTCAGACTACATATCTAAATCTCTCACCTGAACTGAAAGTCTGGTCCAATCTAGAGAAAAGGAGAACCAGTATTTAATCAGAATGGTCATGATCCATTCAGTATTCATATCTCAAAAGAAGAAGATAGTAAAACAAATAAGCTTTAAAACCAACATTCAGCAAGATTTTCAGCAAGTAAAATTTTGCAGTTCATCCCAGCATTAGCAGTGCAGATATAAGCCATGTATTCTGATAAAGCCTTAAATCAGGGAGGAAAACAGAACAAACCAGCCCCGAACCAAACAAACCTCTCCATGATGCACTAAGTTACAAAGAACAAGAAATTTCACACTCTCTGGTTTTCATGCCACTTGTCACCAGACACTGAAAACAGTGACACAAGGTGGCTGCCAGCATTAACCTTTCTTTGGAATTGTGCTGCCCCTCCCTGCAAGGCCCTGGCAGAAATTTACCGATGTTGTTAGCTCTCTCCTACAAAATCACATAGATTTTTATTCCTTGCAGGAATGTCCTGGGGTTATTTGCAAGGAGTGAGCAAGGAGTGAGACTGGGGAATTGGGGAGGGCATTAAACTCTGACCATTCATCACACTGGGCTGGAGGGGGGTGGATGGAGAAACTGATCCCAGAATTCTGAAGAATATGGGAGGGGGTAGGTGGATCTTGCCACTGATGGGGTCTCACGAGGGGTGTGGGACACACATAGGTGAGGGGAATGCACAGGGGCATCCCAGATGACACTCCTCCAGGGATTCCCTCCAAAATTCCAGTGAATTCCTCAGAATCCTTGCCCCGCTCTGAACCCCGGTTCACTGTCTCCAGGGAGGCAGACCCAAATCTGTCTGGCTTTTTCCCCAAATTAATGAGAGAAGTCCCAGTTGAGGGTTCTGGAGAAGTCCAAGCCCAGCTCTTAGACAAAAAAAACCCAAAAAACAAAACAACCGAAACCCAAAACTTTAAAGTGTTTAAAAAAAACCCATATGTAACTGGGGAAAATGAGGCTTTTTAAAATACATGAAAATGAACGGGTTTTCCTTTAGAAAAATAAGAAGAAAAAAGGAGATACATAATAAAGGATTTTCTTTCAAAAAAATACTTTTGAAATGCCAGGTAAATGGGGAACAAGAATTTTTTCAATAGAATAAAGAGAATAAGAGTTTTTTTCCCTTAAAAAAAATCCCTAACAACAGAGATATTAACTTATTTTTAGAAGAAACAAAGAAACCACACTAAAAATTATGGTGGTTTAAAGAGTTATTTTTATTTCCTAAAAGTAGAATTCTAGTGCATAAGGACATTTTTTTTTCTTCCTGGACAAAAAAAGGCCAAAGTACATCATAAAGATTTTTCTCAGCCTCAAATAGCAACAAAAAAGTCTTCAAAATCCCAAATAAACAGGGATAGGCTATTTTCTTCTCCATAATAAAAAAGGAGATAAAGGAGCTATAATTTAAAATTATTTGAAAAGTACATTTTTGTTTCAAATAATTAAGTCAGGGATGAAAGCTGAAAGTTTGGAAAGGGGCACAAACCCCACACAGGATGAGGAGGAATCCAGAGGTGTCTCCAGAACCCCAAAATTATTGAAGTCTTTGCTGTGCTTAAAAAAATACATCTGGAAGAAAAATACATTTGGAGGAGCCCAAAATCCCTAACACGTGATTATAGCCTCAACACGTGATTAAATTTCCCTTTCTAAAGAATCCTGCGAGAGCTCAGAGAGATTGCATGAGTGGAAAGCTGGCAAATTCCTTGTTTCCATGTTTTTTGTTTTGATAACGAAAGCAGCAGGACAAGGTGAAAGCCAGCATTTGAGGGTGTCTGAGCTCATTTTTAGGCTGCAGTTCTTCATGACATTGAATTCCAGGTGAGGAATATTTATTCCAGTGTGATTTTGGTTATTCCTTGTAATACTGTCTCTTTAAAATCCTTATTTTTCATTAATTTAAGGAAGATTTGTGCCTTTGGATGACTTAAAAATGCATGAAAAAATGTAAATAATCCTCATTTTATTCAGAAAAAAAGGTAAAAAATCTTGAATTTGAGCACAGAAGGGGAAAAATCTCTTCATTCACACAAACAGCAAAAACTGAAGTTTTAATTAAATAAAAATTAAATAAAAACCCAAATAAATTGAAGATAAATAAAAATAGCATTAATTTGAAAACTCTATTAAATAAAAAGGCAATGTATTTAGAATTAAAAGTTGAAATGAAATTAAATAATGTTCACTTAAAATTTTCAATTAAAATTCAATCATAATGAATTAAAAATTGAATAAATTTTTAAATCTCTTGAATTAAATTATATTAATACTTTAAAATGTACTAAAATTAAATTAAAAAGCCAACTTTTCAAAAACTTTAGTTATTTTTAAAAATGTCTAAAGTACCACACATACACACAGCCGTCCCCACAAAATTCCTGGAAAAAGTGTGTGTTTGGTGTTTTAATGTGAGTTTTTTTGCCTCTGGAACTTCATTTTACTGCATTATCTCTTTTGGGGAGGGTTGTTGGTTTGCTTTTTTGGATATATTTATAGTTCTTATTTCAAGATTTCTTGTTTTTTACAGTTATTTTAGGGTCAAGGATGTCACCCTCTAGTGTTTTCTTCCTCCTAATATTAGGTAAATGATTACTTCTGAAAAAGTGTTGTTATTTTCATATCTCTTGGACAAATGATTAATCAACTCATTTTCCTTCCTATTTCTTCTTCAGTTTCCATGGTGGACACCAAAACCTCATCTGAAAAAGGTGGATTTTGGGGGCTTTGCCCTAAAAAACCATTATTTCCACCTAAATCAAATTTTATCCCACCCACATCATACCATTTTCCTACTATTCTCTCAAAACCTATTTGTTCCCCATGTAATTCCACAGGGGTCATTCCCATTAACCCCAGTTTCACCATGAAAACCCAAGAGATGACACATCCATTTTCAGATAACCAAGACCATGGGAACCCCAAATTTGGTTGGTTACCCCCCCCCCCCCCCCCCCCCCCCCCAAAATCTATGTATTTGGGTAGGAATTTGGGGTCAGTTCCAAATCCTATTTTTCCTATAGGATTCCCTGCTCTATTCCTATGGGACACGCCAGGGGGATGAAACCAACCCCAAACATGACGATCGGACATCCGAGATCACCCCCTCTGTTCCCTTCACCTTCTAAGGGAAAACATACCAAACTGTGTTTGTAGGTCACCCCAAATTCCATAGTTTTCAGAAATTCCTCCATTTTTCCAAATTTTTGCTCCATTTCTACTTAATTTTTCACTCATGTATGTGGGTGTCTGTGTGTATGTGTGTGTATCCCCCCAGAATCAACCCTTCTTAAATTCATAGTGGGTTTTATCCTTGGGCATTGAAACATCTTCAGATGGGTGGGGAACTTGAGGGGCTGGTGGTATTGGGAGGGTTGAAGGAGCTTGGGAGGTTCTGAGGATGGTGGGTGATGGTGTGGTCCATGGTCATATGGCTGGTGGGTCTTGGGGCAGTTGGTTGTTTTTGGATCTTCCCATGTTGGGTAGATCTTGGGGTATGTGGGATCTTGGTGGGTGTTGTGGAACCACATGGGTGGTGGATTTTTTGAGGGTCCTTGAGGGGTCGGTCTTGGGGGGATTGGTGGGTCTTGGGAGGTTCCTGGGGGTGGTTGCTGTTAGGGGATTCTATGGATCTGATGTTTGGGGGTCCTGTGGGTGGTGTGTTCTTGGGAGGTTGAGGGATCTGGAGAGGTTCTTTGGGTGTTGTGGGATCCTGTGGGTGAAGGTTCCTGTGGATGGTGGGTCTTGGGGGAGTCCTGTGTGTGGTGGATTTTGGGGTGTTGATACATGTTGGGGGTCCCTGTGGATGGTGGTCCTTCTCAAGGACCCCACAACCCAAGTCAAGCTGTTGCAGCCACCTGCTCCTGGTGTCATCTCCAGGTGAATAACAATGGGGTAATCTCCTTCAATGAGCCCATCAAACGATACACCCCTGACCCCTTCCCTCTGGTGGATGGACACCCTTTCGTGGCTCCATCCTGGGCAGATGTGGACAATGTGTTGGGTGGGGACATCTTCTACTGCCAGACCACCGACCCGGTGCTGTTGGAGGACATCAGCCAGGACATCAGCCAGTACTTCCCCAAAAGCCCCTTCACCACCACCTGGGCCTTGGTGGCCACTTGGGACCCCATGGCCTACTATGGCTCCACCTCTGAAAAGGAGAGGTCCATGGTCCATGGGGCTTGAAGGTCACTCAAGTGCTCATTGTCACTTGTCAACAGACCTATCTTTGACCTCCTAAACCCATCCATTACCTTCATGACCCATTCTTGACCTCTGAGACCTTTCTCCATAGGACAACACGTTCCAGGCTGTGCTGACCACTGACTCCAAGATGTTTTATACCATCCTCAACTACTGGGACATCCAGTGAACCACAGGGGCAGCAAGTAATGGGGATGCTGAAACGGGACTTGGGGAGACCCCAGCACATGTAGGTGGGGAGGGTGAAGGAGGAGGGGGAGGCTGTCCCACTCCATGTCCTGAGGATGATGGTGATGAAGGCCAGGGATTGGCCCACCCATTTCCTGGGGATGATAATGATTGTAGTCATGATGAAGGTCCAGGATTGGCCCACAACATTTTTGGGGAGGTCAAGTTTTCCGGTCCCATCTTCTGGAGATGATGATGATGAAGGTTAGAGGTTGGCCCATCCCAGCTATTGGAGATCATAATGATGATAGTGGTGATGAAAGTGATGATGATGATGACGATGAAGAAGACAGGCTTCTTCTGGAGATGATTTTCATGATAGTGATGGTCATGGATTGGTTCATATCATTTCTGGGTGACACCAAATATGTTCACATCCTAAAACCCTTTTGGGGGCCAACTACCCCTTTGGGTGGGGTCAGCCCTTATAGATTCATCCCCCCAATTTTCCAGGCAGGATTCAATAGTGGTGATGACATCAACTTCTACAACATTCCCGGATCCCAAACCGATGCCATCATCAACATCACCACCACCTCCAATGTCAAGGTCCCGGGACGCTGGGTCTTTCAGGTGGATGATTTCCAGGTGACAGGTGTGGATCCTCCCCAGTAGAAAACAACTGCTGGTTGTAAGTAGGAGGAGAAAATTGGGAATTTTGAGGAAAAGTGGGAATTTGGGCACTAAATTCAGGAGTGAGGAGGGGAAAAGTGGGGATTTGGGGCAATAATTTGTGACTGTGGGAAGGCCACTGTGAATTTAGGGGAAGACCAAATTTGTTGGGGAAAATTAGGAATCTGGGCGGAAGAGTGGGAATGTTGGCTGGAATATTGAGAATTTAGGGGCAAATTGAAAGAAAACTGGGCATTTGGGGAACAATTGGAAGTTTGGTGGGGAAAGGGGTAGGTATTTTATGGGATAATATATGAGGAAGATTTTGATTTCTGAGGGGAATTTGGGGATTTTTTGAGGGTATTGGGGATTTGGGTGGGAAGTGTCTCTTCCTCTTGGACTGTTGATATGTCATCTAGGTGAATTGAGGGGAGTTCTGCAGAGGGAAATCACCACTGCCATTCTTATCACCAGTGAAGTCACTGTACAGGTCAAGATCATGCCAACCTCTTTTAGAGCAATAAAATTGCAGCTAAGACGTTGTAGTGTCCATGTCCTTGTCATTGTCATGGCACCCATGGTTATGTCATCACACTTACGTCACCATCATAATAATATACCCCTGACCCCTTCCCTTTGGTAGGGTGGATTACCCTCACTGTTCCCACAGTTGCAGAGGATCTGAGGGGGTTTGGGGTGAAATGTGACAGAATTAATCTAATTTTGCCTTTTTGGGTGTTAATTTCTGGGGTCTTGAACAGTATGAAGTCACGTGTCAGCCATGTGCACAAGAGACACAACCCACAACAGGCAGCTTAGCACACACCCCCACAATGTGGCACTTAAAATACACTTGGACATCACAAGACTCAAAAAATACAAGACACAACTTTACCCCTCTTAACCCTTGACTCCTACTCACAGAATCACAGGATCATTAAGGCTGGAGGAGAACTCCAAGATTCTCAAATCCAGCCTTTAACTGAACACTCCATGTCAAGCAGACCTCAGCACTGAGGGCCTTGTCCAGATATTTCTTGAACACTCCAGGGATGTGATTATACCACCTCCCTGAGCAGACCATTCCAATGCCCAATCATCATTTCTGTGAAGAAATTCCTCCTGATGTCCAGCCTGAATCTCCCTTGGCACAGCTTGAGACCATTTCCTCTTGTCCTGCTGCTGGTGGCCTGGGAGAAAAGATTCACTCCCACCTCAACAGAGGCAAAAACCTCTTTTCCAGGTAATTGTAGAAAGTGAAAAAGACACCCCTAATCATCATTTTCCCAAGACTGAGCACCCACCAGGCTCCCTCACCTGCTCCTGATTCTCCAGATCCTTCCTCAGCTCTGTTCCCTTCTCTGGACATCCTCCAGGCCCTCAATGTCTGTCTTGCCATGAGGGACCCAAAACTGCTCCCAGAATTTGAGGTGTGGCCTCAGCAGTGCCAGCACAGAGTATGGTCACTGCCCTGCTCCTGCTGCCACACCATTGTTGGGACAGCCCAGAGGCTATTTGCCTTCTTGGCCACCTGGAACAGCTGGCTCAGGTTTTGCTGCTGTCATGACTGCCCCCATAGCCTTTTATAATGAGTGGCTTCCCAACCACTGTGCCCCAGCTTGGAGCTGCAGGGGTTGTTGTGACCCAGGGACAGGATCTGGCACTTCCGCCCCAGTGCACGTCATGCCATTGGTCTGGTTGAGGAATTGATTCCATCAATTCTTCAACCCACAAAATGTTTTTTTTTTAAAAAAAAAATCCCTCCTTCCCCTTCCCTTTTTGCCATTTTCCCTCTCTTTTTACCCCAACCAGACTCCCTATTTTCCAAAAAATATGCTATTTCTGCTCGCTCAACTCCTTGTCATTGTGGAATAATTTAAACCACATTGGGCAAAAAACCCTTGATATCTGGTAATTCCAAATTTTGACATCAGTTTTAACAAAAAAATCGTTGTTTTTCTCTCTGTTTTCACCTTTTCTGGCCAAAAATTATCTCACATCATTGGGTGGGGTGGTCCCTGGGGGTGCCTAGATTAGTCATTTTCTTCCCCCTTTTTCTGCCAAAATTAAAAAATAATTGAGGGAGGAGCCAGATCTCCTGTCCTGGGATTGTGTTTTCTTCACAGATTTGGGGATAAAACGGAGCTCTTTGGGGATACAGAGCTAAGCTGGGATCAAACGTGGCCAAAGGCAGGTAAGGGCAAACATAGATCTAATAACTGATAGGTTTTTTTGGCAGGAAAGACTCTAAAGTGGGAAAATCCACCTGAAAACTCCTCAAGCCCTCTCCTCTCCCCCAATCCCTGACC